GCAACAGCTGTCCTAGGGCTGAAGGGTGGACAGAGCACCACCCATCAGCCCTGGGAAGTGAGGAGGCCAACTGCAGGCCTAGGCGTGCCACACACCAGCGGGCAGCCTTGCCAGCCACTTTTTCCGGGTTACAGTACCTATGAAACGAAGGGACCTAACTCAGTACCACTGAAGGCACTTCCATCTGTAAAACACAATCTAGGTGTCGGAAGGTAGAAGACTTGCTAGCACACATGGTGAATTCTAATGCATCTGCTGGTCTCAGTATACCAATGTGACAGATGCTTGCCTGTATTTTTATCTTCTAATCAGAGTAGATTTTCACCACACACACACACGTCTCTACTTAATACAGCAGGTTGGATGGGAAGCATTAATTCCACAATCTCCTCTAATGCAATATACACTTGACCCTTGAACAATACGGGTATGAACTGTGTGGGTCCACTTATACGTGGACTTCTTCCAAAAATACACTGGAAACTTTTTTGGAGATCTGCAACAATTTGGAAAAACCTTCTTTCTTGCTTACTTTAAGAACAATACAACAGTCAGCTATATAGCTAACTTTATTTCACATTTAGTAACCAACACCTCCTACACATCAAACTTTGAGCTTTAAGAAGATTATAGGCAATTCTTGCCCAATTAAAATTAACCATGGAACGACACACTGGGTTCTACCGGTTCTTGCCTGTCTCCTCACTGGTTGGGGCCCACTCCAAGGAGCATAATCTCCTTCAGCAGGTTCAGTGGGAAAGAAGGGGACAAGTAGGAGAGTGGGCTGGAGTCCAAGTTGTATTACTTACCAGTGATACTGGCCTTGGCCAAGAGCCTGTTCACTCTGTCAGTTTCTTCTATAAAGCTTAAGTTGCCCACTTCATTAGACTGTGAGAACTAAGTAACATAATGTGCATAAAGGTGAACAACTAAGTGACACATCCTGAAATTATCATCATCATTTCTTCCAAAAACGAGCTCCAGTTTAGCAGGGATGCTTTCCCTACACCAAGTTCCCTCCTAACACCCATCCCTAAACTCTTCTTCACCTTTCCTCACAGCAGACACGGGACCCATATATTCTCTGGCTATCCCTACCTACACCTCTCCTCCTTGATCTAGCTGGAACTCTGCCCACTTACTAGGGTTTCTTGACACCCCATCCAGCAGACGGCTTTTCCCTTCTGAACTCTAGGACTAGGCCATCCACTCAGTACTTTATCATATGAACTGCGGCTATTAATTCACTTTTCACATTTGCACAATTCAGACCACAATTTAAAGGCAGCATTCTTTTGTGGCTGGTTGTTCGGAACAAAAGCAAATACTGCCACACAATGACACTACAAACAACAGGTAGGTTCTGTGGCCAGTCCATAAAACCCCCTTCCAACTACAATACACATTAGTATAGTTCTTCTAACAAAGGCTTTATGTAAAACTCAGAACAGTTCAATGGCGGACTTAGGGTTTAACAGATCTCATGGTAAATCTATCTTTTCCATCTAGCTCAGCCTGTTCTGGAATTAATGGTGACCAAAAGAAAAAAAAAATCCTCTTCTGTTTGCTTCTCTTCTCTGAGACTGATTAACAGAGTAAGAAGACAGAATATCAGTCAAACAGCAGGCAAGCAAAAAATCAGTGTTATCTGCTATTTGAAATGGTGGGTGCCCAGGGGAGGGCAGGAGTGTTCAGAAAACCTTGTCCTCTCTGTCAGAGGTGAGGGCTCAGTCGGACAGGAGCAAGGCAGAACACTGGCTGTCCTTCTTAGAACCATTCTTCACTGCTGAGGCCCATGAAGCAAGAGGGCAGGCAAAGGCAAGCCTCAGACCTGGGTTATGTATGACCTGTAGGCTCCACTCCACCACCTACATACACGCCTAAAAATATTATGTCCCCTCCCTGCAAAAGTCGGTGTTGCCATGGAACACATCTTCATCTGGTCCTAGGATCTGGGACCAATGACAAGGTGACAGCACAGGCTCTGTACTCCCTGCTTTTACCTGCTTGGGGTGATGCTAAAGTCAGTGGTGGGTCTGTATTTTTTAGGGAATTTTAAAGTGAGACCTTTACATAGAATTAATTAAGAGTCCATACTAATTTCAGAATAAAATATTGGAAAGGAATGGCTTTTCTCTGTCACCAAAACAATCCCACCTAATCCAGCAGCAGTCTCTTCACTGCTCCTTAAGCTGACATAACTAAAGCAAAGAGAGGGGCACTTCCAGTTATAGACCTTGCCCAAACCAGGGCCAGAAAAGGGAATTTCCACCCACTGATATCTGCCAGTACATCAGAATCACATGCCTTGATAACCAAAATGCCTGCCTAAAACCTACCCAAATTTAATTAAAATTTTATTGCACCAAAATGAAGGGTGAGGTCAGGGTGGGATTATTCAGATCATTAAGATGAGGTGTCTTTGAACTTCAATTCACTCAGTAAAAATGTCAAAATTTCCTCTTCTATATAAAGGGGTAAACTGGCTCTAAGAACATACAAATAAATTTAGATACTTTAGTCCCTCAAACAGTTATCTGCCACCTACTGCCAAGCTGGTGGTAAGTGCTGGCGCTAAAATCCCAGCCGCAGATGGGAATACAAATGTTTAGTTACCCGGGGTTTGGATCACTGGTGCAGAAAGCCCAGGGCTGACTGAATGTTATCTGATGGTACATGCTTAGCTGTGGACATTCATTTACTCAAGCCTGGAAGCTCTAACCACCTCATTAGTTTTGGAATCTGAGTATGCAAGGATCCTTTGCAGCAAGCCCTCACAGAGGTGTCTCCTGCAAGGAGGATCTCTAACTTGAGTTAGACCCAGCAGCCTCTGCAGACAACAGCAGAGTAGTTTGTGTACCTTCCAGAAAGTTCCCTGAACCAAATAAACCATAGGGCCCAACAGACTGAAAATCTCCTGTCCAAAAGAACCAGAGGTCGAGCTAACTTTATCTATGGTATCCTTATTTTTGGAGTAAGATTCATCAGACTGCCCAACCTATAATCAGGTTTGGCTGTGAGGAATGGATAATAAAAGAAACCAAGGCACTTGGGGTTTTGCAAAGTAGTATGTCATTGCTAAACACAATTTCCAGCACCAACTGCCTGAGATGCTGGAGATGGCAGCCATCTGATGTTCTACCTTACCCCCACTCCCCTAAGTCTTTGGGCTGCTGCAGCAAAAAATTTATTGCTAGTGGCAAATAAAGAGAGGAGTGGGAGGCATCTACACATAACTAAGAATTATGTTTTGTTGGTTACTTTATTTTCCCTACTAATATTTTTGTTACCCTGTTGAGAATGAAGGGCAATGGGCCTGATCTCATTTATTATGTGGACATTATCCAGAACACAATCTTCTTATATAAAGAATTACGGACTTTCAAAGGTAAACAATTTACTCTCTACAGCCTGGAAGACTGGACTCAATTGGAAAAATTAATGTTCAAATTAATTTCTGTTCACATGACCTTTAGTGATTTTTTTAAAAGCTACTTTCAAAACAACATTTCAAAAAAAAAGAAAAATCAATAAACAATCATACTAAGTTAAACATAAAGAGAAAAAAAAGGTTGAAAGGTAGGGGGGAAGGTCTGGTCACAAAAATTACATTTAAAAGTATACTGTCACAATAATCCTAGCCTAGGCTCTCAAACAAAACTCACCTGAAAAAAAAACAATCAAAATGCAATAAATGACTGGCCTTTGCCCTCTTAATGTGGACCCAACAGCCCCTACTCTTACCCTACAAATACTTCAAGTCAGCCACCATAGTTTGGGTAGGAGCTTCCTTTATTTATCTAGTTTGTCTAGCTTGACCCTCAAACTCTCAAAGAGAATGAGGCAACAAGAACTGCCTGCTCTGGGAACAAAGAGCACGAACAAAACTCACTAAGGCTAAGATGGGTGATCTTCATTAGCTTTTGAAGACCCCGTTCTTCAACAGCAGGGCAAAGAGAGAGAAAGCTCTGACTCTTGTTTTTGTTTTTACCAAGCTCAAAGAGACAATTCTGTCTGTGGGCTAATAATAGGGCAGCATACAACCTTAGACCCCTGCCTGTGGTCAGAGGTGTGTGTGGGTCAGTCAGCACGCAAATCGTGAGGCTGTGAAGTTACAGGGTGGAGCCCAAGTTAAAAATAAGGCTTTCTGGCAGCCCTGCCAACCACCAGCATCATATTTTCCTGGTGATGTCACTACAGATGTGGGGCTCTATCCCTGGGCGTCAGTGTCTGGCCCAGTCCCACCACCACCTATGGGAACTGTGTGAGTTCTGGAAGAAGACAGCATCCATTTGCAAACCAAAGCCAGACAAAACCTGCTGGGTCAGTTAGTGACTGGTTTAAGCTTCCTGGGTTTAAGGATTACAAAGTCACATCAGAAACAGCCATGGTAGCTCTGGGAAACAAAATGGGGATAAATTTTTCACTGTATGTTGACAACTGCTCTCCCTGAAAAAGCATGGAGAATTCATCAGAAGCTCCGAGTTTCCAAGGAGATGACAAAACACCAGCCTCTCCCTCCAACCCCAGAATAAAGTACGCAGGGAAGAAAGAAAAAATGTCAGAGACCACGGAGTTCAATTCTTGCCACCTTATAACGGCAGCTCAGATTTTCCAGAGAATCAATAAGACACAATTTTTAAAAATTCCATGATCTTGTGGGATACAGATTCATCTTGGAGCCAGCGCCCATGCCTGGCCCTTCAATTTCCAACATCATGACCTGTTTAATGGGAACACCAGCCAAGATCTTTCTAACCAAGGGCAGCAACCTCACAAATTACCAGAATGAGTATACTTTATTACATTTCAAGACCACCACCCAGACTCAGAATGCTACACTGGAGCCTTCTTAAACGTGCTTATCTCATTTCTCAAGACCCTCCCTCCTTGAAAATCTCAATCATTAAATGCAGAATTCAGAAGGTAAGTCACACCTGATTTTGCAAAAACATTTCCCCCACTTATGGTGCAAGACACTTAAAAACATTTCCACTTACCAGCCTCTCTCCAGAGAGGACCTCCAGCAGCTTGATAAGCATCCGTCCATCTCGAAGGTCAGTGTATAGGTCTGTGATCCGGCAGGACACTCGGGCAAGGTGGGAATTAACCCACTTAGTGAAGGTTTTCTTCTGCACAGCTTCACGCTCATCTGCAAGGAGAGCAGAGCTCACTTTACCACCAACCATGGTACAGGCAGCAGTAGTTATGGGCCAGCAGGGTTATGAGACCCCAACAAAAGAACAGCAAAACTGAACTCTAATGAGGCCTCCTCTTAAGCATGACAGACTCTTTGGGAACACAGAAGTCATACAGTCCTTGAACATTTGAGCCCCTAAGAAGACCACCAGCAGAATATCCCTCGCTCTTATTTCATTTTCTCCCCTCTCTACTGAAGAGGCAGCAGGATCCTCTGCAGGCCTGCCCAATAGTTTAACATTTGACTGGTAAAGTTTCTAATGTGTATGTTACTGCTAGTATTCCTCCAAAAGGCCACTGTGAGGGAAGGACACTGTATATTGAAAGATTAGGGTTAGAAAAGCCAGGAAACAATTGCTTCCCTCATGAACAAAGGATCAAGTAACACCTTGATAAGATTAACTCACTCATGAGAGTGATCTGCAATGACCCTTCTACCTGCTGAATCACACGCCCTATGAACAACAGCAAAAATGGCAGGCAACATGGTAGAGTACAAAAAGATCTGGATGGGAATTTGGAGAGCAAGGCCTGGGCCCTAAAAACATGCTGAGACACTGGATTCAGTGTCACATTCTAAAAGATGTATGACAACTAACATCTCCAAACTTCAATCACTCATTGAAAAGGGAACTGCTAGTTTATGGTCTGAAGGGTGGTAGATGCACATCTAAGCCACCCAGGCAACAGCATCAAGTTTTTCAAGCTTCAGTGATTCAGTTTTGTCCAACTGAAAGCATAAAGTTCTAGACACATGTGCCCAGCACTGGCCCTTCACATCCCATACAAATAGGCTTCCAATCTTCTTACCTTTGCAGAATGTTCTAAATGCAGGCTGCCCGAGACCTTCAACAAGGATTCACAGAAAAGGCCCGGGACCTGCCCACTTATACTCCCTGTATTCTACAGAGCTACCCTTCTGTCAGTTACTTGTCCCACTTCTAGTTCTAGCAACATTAATTTGTACGAAAAGTATCCAAGACCTTCCAGTGCAAGCATATTACTCTATACAAATAGAGCAGACCCCAACAACTTTTTAGATATTTCAATACCACTGGATGACGCTAAAATCCACACTTGCTGATGGAGCATGTACCTGGTGGCCTGGGGGTACTGAGCTCCCAGCTGGCCAGAGTATCCTGGGAAGGTCTGCCTGGAAGGCCTTGCTGAGGTCTCCACCCAGTCCACCAAAGGGAAGGAGCGAGGCAGAGGCAACAGGGGATGAGCCTTTACTCCTGCCAAACTGGTAGGTGAGGCAGCTGAGGCACCTGCCAAGACAGCTGGCCACCTGCTGTGGCCAACAGCTTCTCTCACAGCCGAGCTTCTCCCAAAAGGACAGACCACCCAGAGGAAAACAGGCCTTTCTTCAGGGACAAAGGCCAACAAAAACTAGACAAAGGGTTGGAAAGGGCAGAATTGGGGAAATAAGAAAAAGGCCATGAGGCGCACTGCAGGCTGAAAAAAGGAGATGTACCAATTAACACCGTGACAGGTCACACAAGAAAGCTCATATGCATTATTAATCACACAATCATCATGATGGGTGGTAACTCTATGACAGTGATGTGGGGAGCTTTATTTTTTGGCCTAAGATTGGCTGTTTTGAAAGAACTGGTCCAGAGCAGAACAGAGACACATTAAGCTACACCTGGGTATGTTTCACAGATGGCAAAGAACTCCCAGTTCAGATACATTTAGAGTCACAATTGCTTTTTTTCCTAAATTATAACATCTTTATGTGCTACAATGGAGTTGGAAATGTCTTTAATAAGGCAAGCTCTTGATGGGTATCCTGGAGTATTATTAAAGGGTTTGGGGCTCAAAGTCCCACATGGAGCCTCTATCATGGCAACAAGATCAAAACAAAAACCTGCCTGGATTAATATTTCTAAATAAACAAGCACAAAATGTTTTTCTCAACCAGCCTTCTCTCCTTTGGGTGAATCTCACATTACCAAAACACAGCCTGCTTCTTTCAGGTTCTAAATGAACAGATGCCTTTACAAGGAGATTCCAAGGACCTCTTCAAGAGGCAGTAACTGCTCCCCACCCTCCCCTGACAAGGGCACCCTGTCCTGCAGAGCTGGTGCCCAACCCCCACCCTCCACCCCAATATGAGGCCAGCAGAGGGGTCACGGGTGGAGCAGAGAGAACTGGGCAGAAACTGAACAGCCTGACAATCTGAGTGAAGAGTGCTAGCGCCCCCAGGGCTGCTGCTGTCCTCCGAAGCTCCAGGAGGAAGAAGAGACATTTTTAAAAATCAAATGAAGGGAATGAGAGCTTGCTTTCTTGCCCCTTCTCCTGCTCCCCGATTCTCTATTCTCCACGCAGCTTATGAGCAGGCTCCAGGTAGCATAAGTGTGATAGAAAGATCACATAGGACCTAAGTTCTTCAGGCTCACACCACCACACTGGAAAAGGCATGGAAGATTCCATCTAGGGACTGGACGAGAATCAACACCCTTATGACACAGAGGGGCAGGAAACGGGCTCAGCAGAGACACAAAGCCTGGCCAGCTTAGCGTGTCATCTTACAATGGAGTGCTTGCTGAACCAAAACATTTCTGAGACCGGAAGAAGGAAAAAAGGAGGAAAAAAATCTACCCAGCAGCCTGCTTAAGGATGAGGCTTCATGTCCTCGGGGCCTCGTCCTTTGTCCCAGCCTTCCTGGGAAGGCACAATGACATCACCCGGCACTCCTGACCCAGCAAGGCCGGGGCAGACCAGGCAGACGCCTGCCTGAGGACGAACAGGAGGCCCTTGGCACAGACAGTGGAAGAGAGTTTCCAGTTCCGAGCTGCTGCCACTGAGCTTGGGCTGCATGAGGAGGCGGTGGGAGTGGCGGAGGAGGCGGTGGGAGTGGCGGAGGAAAGCTAGCCCCACGCAGTTCCACGAGTCTGAGGCACACCTGGTGATATGAAAGGAGAGCGCATCACCAACTCCATATTGCTTTGGTTCTCAACTTGGGGTGACTTTGCTCCCCACAGGACATCCAGCCAGGTCTAAAGATATTTTTGATTGTCATGCCTGGGGTGGGTGGGTGGCTCCTGGCACCCAGTGGGTGGAGGCCAGAATAATGCAAAATGCAAGCGCACAGGATGGAGCCCACACAGTTATCCAGCCCAAATGTCAGTAGTGCCTGGATTGAGAAACCCTGGATGAGACGCTGTGGGCTTACTAAACAGACTTGGCATTCAGTGTCTCAGAATGCACTCACCAAAGACGAACACCTGAAGGCAGAAGTCTCCTGCCCTCAGGTCCACTCATTCCATGGGCCTGCTGCACCCTTGTCAACCAGAGGAGCAGTAGCAGAGGCCAGCAGAGGTGAGGAGAACCATGGGGATGGGCCCGGTCTGTATCCATGTGGCAGTAGGGATTTCTGCCCCCACGTGGTTTTATGTTCTCCTTTTACCTTTTCAGGCCTGGTATCGCTATTAATCAAGCCAAATCATGCCTACATCTCCTCCCCAGAGCTGACATGTCTGAACCCGACACTGGGGCAGGCTCCCACCCAGTCCCGCCCAGAACTTGTGGTGCCCCCCAGGAACAGACACCTACATAGCCCCGATCCAGGTCTCTCTCCACTGTTTGTCTCCTGCCCCCCACATTATATTTATTTATAGAGACTCACCTAAAGGCCACTGTAGCACTAAATGAAAGGAGGTAAAATGTACATCAAAGTGCCCAGCTTGTTGTAACTACCCATGAAACTAGTTCTGTCTCTGTTTCCTCTGCAAAACAGCACTCTCATCAATTCAAACCACCTGAGAAATGTACCAGGGATCACAGAATGTCAGGATGGGAAAAGGCTTCAAAAGTCATTTAAATCTACTTTCTTTTAAAAGTAAAGGGTCTCTTCTCCTGCACCTGGGCCAGCTATTTTTAAATCCCAGAAAGGGAGAACTATGTGTGTTTGTGGCAGGAGATTGTTAATAGTCAGACAGAAAGAAACCAGCTTGTTCTTTCTTTTTATTATAATAATAGTGGCGTTCACTGGGACTTACTACGTCCCAGGTACCTATCTACATGCTTTACAATCCATGTAGCAACTCCAGCTCCATGAGGAAGAATTAGTAACTGTTCAGGTTAGCTGGCTCCAAAGCCTTGGGTCTCAATCACGGTGCCCCCAGCACAACCCTAAAAAAGAGTTTCAGTGATACAAGACACAGAATCACCCATAACCTCACCATCCTAATCCAACTTCCCATCTTGTGAAAGGATTTACTCCATCACTGGGTAACTCCAGTTGTTGGACGGTGTCTCCATCAAGACTAGATCTGTTTCTGTGGCCCACTGAGGTCCAGTCCACCTCTGAAGCTACAGAGAATAAATAGGTTTCCTCACTCCTCCACTTAAAGGCCTTTGGGTTTTAACATTCCTCACAGACCCCTCTTTGCAATGACTGTCACAATGTGGCAGGCAGACTGGAACCCAAGATGGTACCTGAGGATACTACTACCTCCTGGTAGCCTGGACATCACTGCATACCTACTGATACAAGCCCAGACTTGAGGCAGTTGCAGTACCAGAAGTCCACAGACAGGAAAAGTAGGGCACCAAGTGAAGGGGCAAGAAGAACCAGCAGCCTCCGAGGCAGGCTGTGAATCCATGCAAGAGTGGGAATCAAAGTTGTTCTCCAAACAAGTTTCCCAGAAGCACAAATGCTACCAATTATCCTTGGAACCCTGAGAACTTGGGAACCAGAAGTGATTCCAAGTGTGAAGATCCAGCCAAGTCTTTCGTCTCCTCACACTCAGAGATGAATTAGCCAACCACATAGAAAATGAGAACTATTGAAAAGCAGATCAGAAAACCCAACTTTGAGTGAGTGCCAACATCTCCCATGGCTTCTGACCCCTGTAAGGAGTGAATTTTAAGTGAAATTCTATTATGGTACTCTTTCCTGAAAACAGAACTTTATAAGATGGCATGCCTACAGTAATGCCATCATGC